CACCTCTGGCTTTTTGGATTCCTTGAATGGGGAAGTGTCCTTTTAAATGCATCCTTATTTAGAAAGATGGCCCATTTGAGAATTAATGTTCTTTTTCTTCAACAACTCCAGATAAGGCCCAATTGGAAATAAAAGTGAAAACACTTTATTTATTTGGCTTTTATTTTAGGCTCAGCAGGTACATGTGCAGGTTTGTTACATGAGTAAATTACATGTTGCTGGGATTTGGTATACAGATGATCTCATCACTGGGGTAGTGAGCATAATACCTGAGAGTTAGTTTTTCAACCCTTGCCCCCTCCCACCCTCCCCCTGCTGGTAGTCCCCAGTGTCTGTTGTTCTGATCTTTGTGTCCTTGTGTTCTCAGTGCTTAGCTCCACTTTCAAGTGAGAGCGTGCGGTATTTGGTTTTCTTTTACTGGTTAAATTCGCTTGGGATCATGGCCTCCAGCTGCATCCATGTTACTACAAAGGACATGCTTTTGTCCTTTTTTATGGTTTCATAGTATTCCATTGTATATCTGTACCAGATTTTCCTTATCCAGTTCACTGCTGATGGGCACCTGGGTTGATTCCATGTCTTTGCTATGTGAACAGTGCTGCCATGAGCATAGAAGTACACATGTCTTTTTGGTAGAATGATTTACTTTCCTTTGTATGTATATCTAGTAACAGAATTGCTGGGTCAAATGGTAATTCTGTTTGAAGTTCTTGAGAAACTTCCAAACTGCTTTGCACAGTGGCTAAACTAATTTATATTCCCACCAACAAAGGTTTTTTTTTGTTTTTGTTTTTGAGACAAGGTTTTGCTCTGTCGCCCAGGCTCACTGCAGCTTCGACCTCCTGGGCTCAGGTGATCCTCCCACCTCAGTCTCCTGGGACTACAGGCACACGCCACCACACTTGGCTAATTTTTTTATATTTTTTTGTAGAGATAGGGTCTCACTTTGTTGCCCAGGCTGGTCTTGCACTCCTGGCCTCTGACAGTCCACCCACCTCGGCCTCCCAAAGTGCTGGGATTATAAACATGAGCCAACATGCCCAGCCCTGTGATTTTAATTTGCATTAAAATACTTTTGATTTTGTGATAGATGCTATAGCATTAAATGTGAAAAGGCCCAGGACATGGGTCTTAGAAGGCACCTGCTTCCACATCAGCCGTCTTTGTCAGCAGCTTCCTGTTGCATGGCTTGTGGCTCTGGCTTGAAGCTCAGCATCTTCAGCCCTTGCCTTCTCCCCCATGTGATTTTCTTACATCTTGGCAAATGCCTGCACTTTCCCCACATTGCCGCTGTGTGTCCAGGCCATCTTTCTGGGGGTGATACCCTGTGTATTGAGGAATCTCCCAAACAGTACCCCTGACCCTGCTCTACCTTACGTAAACCAATGCCTGTTGCATACCCAGACCAACATGGTGATGCGAGGGTTTAACACCTTAGTGGGCCGGGCGCAGTGGCTCACACCCATAATCCCAGCACCTTGGGAGGCCGAGGTAGGTAGATTACTTGAGTTCAGGAGTTCAAGAGCAACCTGGCCAGCATGGCGAAACCCTGTCTCTACTAAAAATACAAAAATTAGCTAGCGTGGTGGTGCACACCTGTAATCCCAGGTACTTGGGAGACTGAGGCACAAGAATCACTTGAACCTGGGAGGTGGAGTTTGCAGTGAGCTGAGATTGTGCCACTGCACTCCAGCCCGGGCAACAGAGCAAGACTCTGTCTCAGAAAAGAAAACACCTTTGTAATAATATCTCAACCAGTGGGTAGAGCTGTGACTGGCCATCATCTGAGCTCCAAACACAGACTTGCTGGCCTCCATGAATGCCTGACAGGTTCACCACATTTTTTGTGTCCAAATCAGGCTCAACTTTTCCTCCACACAGATGGTCTCCCCTCCTGAACCTGGGAAGCGTCTGAGGTTTTTCCATGTCCTTTGCCTGGTTATAGGATCTGAAAGCACTTCCTCCTTCCCTGCCCACATTACTGTTGTTTTTGTGTTTGTTCAGGCTCTCCCTAGTTCTCTCCTGGCTTACAGTCACATTTCCTAACTGGTCTTAAAGCTCTTACCTTGCTGGTCATTTGTCACATGGGAGCTGAAGTGGCCTTTCTTTGTACCCTTTGTGTTCCAGGAAGGACTTAGGTGTCTTACAGGCATCTGATCATATTACTCTCTTGCTCAACACCTGTCGTCACCTTAGGGTGAAGTGGTTTTCATCTCATTCAAGTGCCCCTTCCATTAAAAAGCTGGCCATTGCAGCCTCTACCCCATCTGATGGGGATGTGCCTCTGGCTTGGGCTTCCATTGCCTCTTCAGTCCCCTGGCTGAGGTATTGCCTCAAAGATTCCATTGTGGGTATTTGAATCTCTGTTGAGGTCAAGAAGCCCCACCTCAGCATCCCAAGTAGTTGGGACTACAGATGCTCGCCATCACACCCAGCTAATTTTTTTGTATTTTTAATAGAAATAGAGTTTCACCATGTTGGCCAGGCTGATCTTGAACTCCTGACCTCAAGTGATTCACCTGCCTCAGCCTCCCAAAGTGTTGAGTTTACAGGTGGGGGCCATTGTGCCTGGCCAGTCTGAGCCATTTAGAAGTGGAGTTTGGCCAGGTGCGGTTGGACCCAGGAGGTGGAGGTTGCAGCGAGCTGAGATTGTGCCACTGCACTCCAGCCTGGGCAACAGAGCAAGACTGTGTCTCAAAAAAGGAAAGGAAAGGAAAGGGGAAGGGGAAGGGAGGAAGGAAGAAAGAGAGAGAGAAAAGAAAGAGAAATAGCAAGAAAGAGAGAGAGAAAGAAAAAGAAAGAAAGAGAGAGCGAGAAAGAAAGTATTATGGACCAGAGTTGAGCTTCTCCAAGTATACTGTGCAGGCATGTCCCCTGGGGACCTGGCTGAAGTGCAGGTTCTGGTTCAGGAGGTCTGGCATGAGACCCAAAATTCCGCATTTCCAATGAGATCTGGGTGATCCTGCTTCTCTGAGGAGCATACTCTGAGTAGCAGGGGGCTGCAGAGTCCAGAAATAAACCCAAGGATGGGTATATATCTAGCAGATAACAGAGGTAGGAAAGGGCTGGTTTATTTCATGGGTCACAGAGTCAGATGGCTGTCAGAGCTGGGAAGTGTGTGAAGCAGCTGGTGTCAGGCTGTAGGGAACTCTGGAGCCTGAAGATTATGTTCCTTCCACCTTAGTGTTCACATTCAAATTTAAAAAGGAAGAACAAAAAGGAGGTGAAGAAGAGAGGAAGGAAGCAAGGCTTACTGATGGAAACATTTTGAGGTGATATTGGACAGCCTTGGTGGGACTTAACGTGGCACTCATATCACAAAGGAAAATACATTAGCGTGAATTCCAGAAGATGAAATCTCTAAATGTAAAAAATAAAGCTATGAAAATGTTAGAAGAATTGAAAGAACGTGTATAACCTTGAGGTAGTGTAGACCTCCTTAAGCGAGGTTGAAATCCATGAAAACCATCTGGTATCACATAGGCATGAAGGCAAGGTCAAAAATAATGGCCAGTATCACTGAAGTTTAAGAAAGTAAACTGTTTTTAACCCATTGAATTGATGGAAGTTTTAGAGTGATGGGATCCAGTACTGATAAGGGGAAGGGAAGACTCTCCTTCAGTGCAGGGCATCTGGCAATGTTTATCAGAATGAAAATTACATACCCTTTGATCTAGATTTTGGAAGTCTAGCTTAGCTCACAAAACAAAGTATCAGTAAGTATTAAGTGTGGTGGCGCATGCCTGTAATCCCAGCTACTGCAGAGGCTGAGGGAGGAGGATTGCTTGAGCCCAGAAGTTCAAGACCAGCCTGGGCAATATAGTGAGACCCTGTCTGCTAAAAAGAAAATTTGAAAAAATAACTTAGGTATCATTAAATGACAATAAATAAGATTTTTAACAAGGCTTTTGTAATTTCATAAGGGGGAGAATTATAAAATGGGTCCCCCAGGTGCCCATCACCCACCTTCAGCAATAAATGGCATTTCACTAATCTTGGTTTCTTTCTTCTTCTCTACTTATTCCCTGCCCCCACCCTTCAGTTCTTTAAAGCTAATTCTAAACATGTCACGTCACCTGTAAATAATTCAATATACATCTCTAACTGATCAGAGGCTTTAATATACAAACACATAGCCACAACACCAAATGCAGGTAACACTAATTCCTTAGTATCAGCTAATACCAGTCCACTCCACATTCAGATTTCCCTTATTTTCTCAAAATATCTTTTTACGGTTAGTTTATTTGAGTCAATTCAAGCAAGCACCACACACTGTATCTGATTATATGTTTCTCAGATGTAGTAGTGCATGCTTAATACAGCACTGCTTAGGGCCGGGCGCGGTGGCTCACGCCTGTAATCCCAGCACTTTGGGAGGCCGAGGCGCGTGGTTCACGAGGTCAAGAGATCGAGACCATCCTGGTCAACATGGTGAAACCCCGTCTCTACGAAAAATACAAAAAAAAAATTAGCTGGGCATGGTGGCGCATGCCTGTAATCCCAGCTACTGGGGAGGCTGAGGCAGGAGAATTGCCTGAACCCAGGAGGCGGAGGTTGCCGTGAGCTGAGATCGCGCCATTGCACTCCAGCCTGGGTAACAAGAGTGAAACTCCGTCTCAAAAAAAAAAAAAAAAAACAGCACTGCTTGTAGTGGCAAAAAGAAACACACACACAAAATAAATGTCTGTAAAGCAGGCAATAATTTTGCCTGTAGACAGGATTAAAAGAGAGTAGGATGGAAGAGGGGTTGTTAATATTTTTTAAATACCTCGAGAACATTTGACTTGGTACAAAGGGCACATTTTTATATTTGAAGAGAAAATCTTAATAAAAAAGCCAGCCGGGTACGGTGGCTCATGCCTGTAATCCTTGGTTGGTGAATCCTGGTGGATTAAAACTTTGCACATCTGTTGATTCCACGGTATCAGGGTAATTTGGGATCAGTGCATTGCTATCAGTGTTTAACACACTGTTTTCTTCTGTCCTCTTCCCCTCAGGCCTCCACCATGTTGCGAGCCTCCTTGGCACCTGTGTAAGTAACTGCTCTTAGGAATTTTTATTAAGGAGAACAGCAATGTGTAAAACGGGAATTCAAAGTGTCTTTAATAAACACTCATCTTAGCAGCCTAGTTTAGAGGAATGCTACATTTGAGCCATAGCTACGTGTGGGTATTAAAGGAAATATGAGTACTTATAAGTAATGTTGTTAAACCAGAATAATATTTCTTTTTAGATGTAGTTTTACCCTTGTTGCCCAGGCTGGAGTGCAGTGGTGCAGTGTTGGCTCACTGCATCCTCTGCCTTTTGGATTCAAGTGATTCTCCTGCCTTACTCTCCCAAGTAGCTGGGGTTACAGGCATGCGCCACCATACCCAGCTAATTTTTATATTTTTAGTAGAGATGGGGTTTCACCATGTTGGTCAGGCTGGTCTCGAACTCCTGACCTCAGGTGATCCACCTGCCTCGACCTCTGAAAGTGCTGGGATTACAGGCATGAGCCACTGCACCCTGCCATCTTTTATTTATTCTATTTCTTTGGTAAGGAAGCCTCAAATGAAAAAAACTGTTAAATTGTTCATATGGTATTATATAGAAATGAATTGAATCTACTACCATGGTGCAATCCACAGAGCGTTGCAGTGTCTGAATTTATGTTGTCTGCTGGATCACGCTGTGATCAGGGCCATGAGCAGCCCTGTGTGTGTCTGAACACTCCTGTTCTGATCATTTGGGCTGTTCCCCTTGGGAGTGCCTTATGCTGTAGGGGACTGTGGCAATGGAGTTGAGAACCTTTGACTTGTACATATGGACCAGGGTGGCTTCTGGGAACCTCTGAGCCAGCTTGGTGGGGAAGGCGAGGAAGACAGGGGTCTGTGTGATTCCTCAGACACCTGAGATGCCCACAGCATTCCTCCTCCCTCAGCCCTGCCTGCGTCTGACCTTGACCCTGCACCTTCTCTCCTACCACTTTGGCAGTATCACTTACTGCACAGATGGCTAGGGTTAAAAGCCCACCTCTGCTACCCACCTTGTGACCAGGGATTACTTATATAATTTCTCTGTGCCTCAGTTTCCTCATTTATAAAATGAGAAGAATCATAGTAATTCTATTATAGGATTGCTGTGAGATTAAAAATTAGCTAATACATATACAGCACTTAGCATTTGGTGTATTACGCCAAAATGAGGAAATTATCACTGGTACAGTACTGTGAACTAGACTGCAAACCTCATTAAATGTCACCAGTTTTTCCATGCCCTCTCATCTCCTTTGCTACAATAAAACAGCAATACAACAAAACGTGAAGACACTTATTTTAGTGACAAGGAAGCTGAGGTGATGATTCCTTTCATTTCTGGCTGACCGAAGGCAGGTGGCGGGGCAGTCAGAGCTGTGTGGATCTCAACTCCAAAGCCTCTCCTCATTGAAACCCAACTCCCCTGAGATCTTTGGCTTGGAATCTTCCTGAGGAGGGTCTGCAAATTGTGCTACAACCCGTCTCCTGGCTGTGTTCCCATGCTGCTTCCTGGCCACGTGTTCTGCCTCCTTGGAGGGCTGTGCCCCCCGCCTACTTACTCTTTTTTTTTTTTTTTTTTGAGATGGAGTCTTGTGATGTCTTGCCTACGCCGTAGTGCAGTGGTGCAATCTCAACTCACTGCAGCCTCTGCCACCTGGGTTCAAGCGATTCTCCTGTCTCAGCCTCCCGAGTAACTGGAACTACAGGCATGTGCCACCCTACCGGGCTAATTTTGTGTTTTTAGTAGAGACAGGGTTTCACCATGTTGGCCAGGCTGGTCTCGAACTCCCGACCTTAGGTGATCCACCTGCCTAGGCCTCTCAAAGTGCTGGGATTATAGGTGTGAACTGCACCTGGCCTCTGCCTGCTTATGCTTCACACTTGTTTCCTGACTGTTGCTCATATTCCCCCAGTCCAGTCGCTCAGGCTTGAGAGGAACAGTGGCTTCAGGTGTTGAGGTAGAACACTTAGGGCCTGCTGATGCTCATCGTCTTTGGACTGTGTTCAGAATTCTAAACAGGACTTCAGTGGAAAGTTATGATGCCCCCAAGGTGATTTCTTCCCCATCCTAGGGGGCTCTGGCTGAAGGTGAATCTGTAGGGGTTTCTAAATCTGTTCAGGCAGAGACTCCTTGTTTTAGGAAAAATGTTAAACAGAATCTCAGTCCATCCAACAGAACAGGCAGAGCTGAACTGGTTGAAGCTGAGGTAGGCGCCTAGACCCCAGGTCATCCTCTAGGTGGAAGCTGGTGGGTCATGCTGGGAGCCCAGGGGAACAGCAAGTTCTAGATCGGGTGCCATAATGCTCAGGAGGTGTAATGAACATGCCTTTTTGCCCTTTTCTTTCTGTTTGAACTTGTGTTGCTGAGTAGGAAATTGAAGGATGTCCCATTACTGCCCTCCCTGGATTATGAGAAACTGAAGAAGGATTTGATTTTGGGGAGTGACCGCTTGAAAGCCTTCTTGTTGCAGGCTCTGCGCTGGGTAGGTACCTTTGTCTTGAAGTTAGAAAACCAAACCAAACCAGCGGTTTTCTTGGCTGGCTACCTTGCCTGTGTCTTTTAACCCATCTTCCAGAAATCTTTCTTCCCCTATGTCTGCTGACACCAAGAACGGAAGTTGAAAGCCACTTCTGAAGATAGCCTGGGCCTCCTTTAAGAAACCCCTATGTTATGACAATTGTGATGTAATGAGTTAAATAAATAAATTTCAAGGCCAAGAAGACTGTACCTGCCTGTGGCCCTTTCCTGGCTGTGAGCCCCACTCTGCTTGTGGGGGCCCGTGTGTGAGCGCATGGAGTCAGGGTGGCCCACAGCCCCGCAGAGGTTCTGTATGCAGGCACTGCTGTGCAGCCGCCCTGGAGAACTACCAGGGAAAGAACTCCTGTTCTCAAGACTCTAAGGGAAGTGGCCCGGTCTCCGTCGTTACTTTTCTCCCTACTCTTCAGCTTGAGTGCAGTTTAAGTCAGCAGTTGGCTCTCAAGCTTGTTAGTGTCAGACCCCTTTCCACTCAAAAATTAAGGAGGACCTCAAAGAGCTTTCATTTATGTGAAGTTATTTGATACACCAATGTTTACAGCATTTGAAATTAAAAATGAAATTTGCCTGGGCATGGTGGCTCACACCTGTAATCCCACTAACTTTGGGAGGCCAAGGTGGGCTGGTCACCTGAGGTCAGGAGTTCTTCAAGACCAGCCTGGCCAACATGGCAAAATCCTGTCTCTACTAAAAGTACAAAAAGTTAGCTGGGCGTGGTGGCAGGTGCCTGTAGTCCCATCTACTCAGGAGACTGAGGCAGGAGAATCGCTTGAACCTGGGAGGCGCAGGTTGTAGTGAGCTGAGATCACACCACCACACTCCAACCTGGGCAACAGAGTAAGACCCCATCTCAGAAAAGAAAAAAACAAAACTGAAGATTTGAAATATGTTTATTAATTTCATTTAAAATGAACACTAATAAACAAATGACATGTTAACATAAATAACACTTTTTATGACGAATACTACTTTCCAAACAAACAAAATTGTGAGAAGAGCAGCACTGTTCTGCAGATGTCTTTAGTGTCTGGCTTGATGGAGGAAGCTGAATTCTCCTATCGGCTTTGTATTTGCCTCTCAGTGTCACACTTCATATAGCCTCTCAGAGACTGATCATAAAAAAGACATGATCGTATCTTAGTATTAGGAAAATTGTGACCTTGCAGACCCCCTAAAAGGGTTTGGAGGACCTCTCAGGGTTCCCTGGACCACACTGTGGGAACTGGTGGCTCTAGCCAACACTGACTGAACCAGCAATTCTTTAAGTGAACAGTCCATTTGAATTCATTAGCATCAGACATCTTCATGGACCCCCGCATTTCAAGGTATCCTGGCATCAGGATCCTTAGCAATTTTCCATCTGTGGATAGAAGCAGTTCTCACTTACACACAAGTGAATGGCAGTACTTCCTGAAGCACGTCTTGAGAAGGACTCTGACGACATATCCAGGACCTGCAGGAAGAGTCCTGTGGAAAGCAGTGATGTCTCTTTTGGTTTTGGTTGGGTCAGGACTCGAGTGGGTGGAGCAGCTTGAGTCATCAGCAGTGGCTGTCTCCTCCCTGGCCATTTACCTCTCTGCTTAAGCTCTCAAACTCATCTTTGATTTGCCTCTCGGTTTACTGATGCTGCACTTCCTCTCAGTCAGTGCTACTCCTGAGCCTCTTGCTGAGACAGGGTATTCCTTTGCTGAGAGAGTGACATCTTCAGAGAATAACCCAGAAAAGTGAACAGGTTTCTTAGGATTTCATCTGTGTCCCTCTCCAGTGGCCCCACCCGGCTTCTTGCCCCTGCTTCTATTATACCCAAGTGAGTTCAAACAGAAGCGCCACACTGTTGAGTTTGTTGAGAGTCCACCTTTAATGGCCTGCGTCCGAGAGTCAGCTAGAGCTCAAACCTCTCGGCCTAGAGCAAAGGGCGGTCAACATTTTTATACCAGTTTAGGGTCGGGGGCGGTAGATTATTACAGAAGCAGAAGGAGCAGGTTAGGGGAATTTAGGAGGTGGGGGGCCTAACAACAAAATTATATTTAAAGTTGTTTTTTATTCAGGATGTAGGGTAGGCAGTTAGACAGTTGCAGGTACAGGATGTACAGGGCCAGTGGGCCGTTTCTCAAAAAACTGGTCACAAAGATGGCAGGTGTCTCAGACCACAAGCTCTTGGAACAGAATGCCCACCATAGCTCAGGGTGGGCAAAATGGAGTTGGCAGGATTGTTCAAAATGTATTCATCATAGTCAAGCTAGGGTAGTTCACTTCAACCTCAGTGAACTCAACAGAAGGGCAGCAGCGCCCCCGATGTGACATTTTGGGCACACCCTGGCTCTGGTGGTAACATCTGTTGGCAATGCCTGCTCTGGAGGCCTCGCCGGCTCTCCTTCTAGCCCAGGGGTCTGATGCTCTGGCCTGCACTCTGGCCCATGCTAAGAACTAGCATATTCCTTACACATCCAGCTTCTCTTCAGCTAGAAGCAGGGTTTGCAGCCTCAGGATTTTTATCTAGTAGGATTTTCCTAAAAAGGATATTTGCTCACTCTGTTACATGCTTTTTCATATCCCATCTCACACCTGTACACACCCATGTGCACCCTCACACACCCATTTTACATGCTCTCCACATGAAAGTTTTCTTCTAGCCCTGTCGACATTGCATAAATTTTTACTTATAACAACATAACAGACTTATGGCTTTCTAAAATCTACAAAATACTAGCCAGCTACCTCTACACTCATCATGCATGCATGCATGCACACATGCACACACACACATGCGCACATGTACTGTATGACTCTCATTCCTTATAAGAAAGGATCAGAGCGCTCAACAGTCAGCCTTGGGCCCCTCCCATTGAGCCATGCCACTGTGCCCTGTATTGTACCTCCCTGAGCTAGACCTCACTTTCCTATCTGCCACCGTGCTATCGCTCCCCTGTGCTGGTTAATAGGCTGCCCTTCCTGCAGGGGCCAGCTCCTGAGCCCCTTTGTACAAGAAATGCCTCTATGGGCATGGATGAGCTCTCCACTATCTGCATACTTATTATCTGAGCATTTTGCTGCTTCACTTCTCTGGAAATTTCACATGTATAAGTTGCTCCAAAATCCACTGTGTCACCCATTAGGAAGCACATCATAGGTTCTTGTTATTTGTTTAACCAGTTAACTCACCCCCCACAGCTGGATATTATTTATTTTGTTTGGTTAAATGTGTAGTTACTGATACTGCCATTTAAAACACACCTGCTACGTGAAACTTTTTTCCATTATAAGACTAAGGTCTTGCTACTTTTATTTTTCTTTGCTCCAGCGCTTGACCACATCCCATCCTGGAGAGCAGAGGGAGACCATTCTGCAGGCCTATATCAGCAATGACCTCTTGGACTGTCATAGCCACACCCAGGTTGGTAAGAGGTGGCTCACATCCTGGCCAGGGCCTTCAATTCTAGGTAATGATCTTAGCATCATTCCTCATCTGGGGGAAGCTTTCATTTTTGTGCACATTTTCAGCATCGTAATTGTATGTCAGCCTTGAGCTCACGAGATCTTTTGTTCAACCTGGGCATTGTCCTCCTTTTTGCTTCTAGTAAAGAGTTCTAAACAAGTTAGGACTGCTTGATTCATCATCTCTGGAGTTCTTTTCTGCCGTTTTTTCTTTTCTCAAATTCCCAACTCTTTGACCTCACTTCATGCTGCTTGCCATGAGTCCTGAAAACTGAGTGTGACTTCAGAGGAACGAAGTAGGTAAGCAAATTCAGGTTGGTTACATCTGGGCCTGACTAAAAGTATCGTTAATACAGTACTTATATATAGTTTTGGACCAGATAGGTCTACTGATCCTGTGGGAAAAGTATGAGATTTAGGGTAAAATAAACTTTCTTTCCAACCTCTGCTCTACCACTCATTAGCCAGGTCCCGTAAGCGAGTTACTCAATCTCAGGCACTTCCTTGTCTGAGAAAGGAGCTGTGCCTGCCTTGGGAGGTTGTTGGGATGATTACGTACAGTCATATGTCGGAGTCCTTAGCTCCAGGCCTGGCACCGAGCAGTCTTTCTCTCTGTCCCTGCCCCTCCTACCTGTATCTGCACCAAACTTCACTGGACAGGAGGAGGATCAGGATTTTGAATTTGGCACATGTTAAGACGGTACTACATTTTATTATTTCAGTTGAATTTTTATCCAGAGTGCGGTAAAAATGTAAAGCTATTGTTAAACTTCACAATGTATGCACTGAGTGGAGTATCAAATTGTCTTAACTCTCACTGATTAAATAACTGTCTTAGGCCATTTCCTACTGCTAGAACAGAATACCGCAGATTGGGTCATTTATAAACAATACAAGCGTATTGTACTCAACAGTTCTGGAGTCTAGGAAGTCCAAGAGCCTGGCGCCAGCATCTGGCAAGAGTCATCCCAAAGCAAAAGGCAGAAGGCAGAAGTGAGCACGCAAGACAGAGAGTGGAGGGCGAAGCTGTCTTTTTAGCAGGAGGTTACTCAGGATAACTAACCCACTCCAGCAATAATGGCAGTAATACATTAATGCCTAATATCTTCTGAAAGGTCCCGACTCCCTGTACTACAACATTAGCAATTAAATGTGAATATGAGTTTTGGTGGGTTCATTCAAACCATAGCAACAGACCCTGGGAAAGCGATTTACACATTAATCTGTTGTGCATACAGGCAATACAATTTGAGTTTCGAGTTGCCAGTTTACTCTGCGAATGTAGTCTTCATGGTGTCATGAAAGAGTTGTGTTAAGTTTAAAAATACTCTCATATTCTTGACTTATTTTCTTGCTTTTCTTCCTGTTGGATTTTTAATGGCATTGGATCCAGCATACAAGGCATGAAGCAGCTGAATAATAGATTGTTACATCTTCTCAACTCAAATTCAAGGAGTAAAGTCAATACTGATTATTTCTTTTTTTTTTTTTTTTGAGACGGAGTTTCGCTCTTGTTACCCAGGCTGGAGTGCAATGGCACGATCTTGGCTCACTGCAACCTCCACCTCCTGGGTTCAGGCAATTCTCCTGCCTCAGCCTCCTGAGTAGCTGGGATTACAGGCATGCGCCACCATGCCCAGCTAATTTTTTGTATTTTTAGTAGAGACAGGTTTCACCATGTCGACCAGGATGGTCTCGATCTCTTGACCTCGTGATCCACCCGCCTCGGCCTCCCAAAATGCTGGGATTACAGGCTTGAGCCACCGTGCCCGGCCCAATACTGATTATTTCTAACATTACTTCATTGAGTCAAAGATACACTTTTCTCCCTGTCTTAACATCTTTGTTACTGGGGTGTATCTGATAGTGAATGGCATATTATAGCTTAATTGGCAGTGTTTTTCTTTTCTTTCTAGATTTTTATACATAAAACGATAATGTGTCTTCTTATGAAAGGTGTCGTGGGTTTTGTCATCTGTAGTTTTTGGCAAAAATACAGTGATCTCCATAGTCATTGAAGAGAGTAATTTCTTCCTTAAGTCATTATGTATAATTCCTGTGGTTTATTTATTTATTTTGAGATGGAGTCTCACTCTTATTGCTCAGGCTGAGTGCAATGGCACAATCTCAGCCCATTGCAACCTCCACCTCCTGGGTTCCAGTGATTCTTCTGCCCCAGACTCCCAAGTAGCTAGGATTACAGGTGCCCACCACCCACCCAGCTAAATTTTGTATTTTTAGTAGAGAGACTACTAAAAATGTTTCACCATTTTGGCCAGGCTAGTCTCAAACTCCTGACCTCAGGTGATCCGCCCACCTCAAGTCTCCCAAAGTGCTGGGATTACAGGCTTCAGCCAGGGTGGTCCAGGGTGCTTTGAGAATTACAGTTTGAGACCAAAAACTTGAATGGAGCCAAATTTAGTGAAGTTGCAAGGCTGCGTTTTTCATTTTCAGCTGAATTCTGAATTTTTCATTTTTGTTTAAGAAGAAATGAGCTGAACCCTTTTACACTGCTGGTGGCAATGTAAATTAGTACAACCACTATGGAAAACAGTATGAAGATCCCCTGAAGAATTCGACTTAGAACTACCGTTTGGTTTAACAATCCCACTACTGGGTATCTATCCAGAGAAAAATAAGTCACTATATGAAAAAGACACATGTACACACATGTTTTCAATTTGCAGTTACAAAGATTTGGAACCAACCTAAGTGCCCATCAACCAATGAGTGCCTAAAGAAAATGTAGTATAAATACCATGGGATACCACTCAGCCATAAAGAGGAATGAAACAATGTCTTTTGGAGCAACTTGGATGGAGCTGGAGGCCATTATTCTAAGTGAAGTAACTCAGGAATGGAAAACCAAATATCGTATGTTCTCACTTATAAGTGGGAGCTAAGATACGAGGATGCAAACAAAAATGATATAATGGATTTGCACAGGTGACAGTGCTCACTGTACCCAGTGGGTGCACTAAAGTCTCAGAAATCGCCACTAAATAACTTATGCATGCAATTAAAAACCACCTGTACCCCATAAACTTGAAATAATTTTTTTTTTTTTAAAAGAAGAAATAGGCCAGGTGTGGTGGCTCATGCCTGTAATCCTAGTGTTTTGGGAGGCTGAGGCAGGTGGATCACCTGAGCTCAGGAGTTTGAGACCAGCCTGGCCAACACGGTGAAACCCTCTCTACTAAAAATATAAAAATTAGCCAGATGTGGTGATGCATGCCTATAATCCCAGCTACTTGGGAGGCTAAGGCAAGAGAATTGCTTGAACCTGGAAGGCAGAGGTTGCAGTGAGCCACGATCATGCCACTGGACTCCAGCCTGGGCAGCAGAGTGAGAAAAAAAAAGAAAGGAAGGAAGGGAGGGAGGGAGGGAGGGAGGGAGGGAAGGAGGGAAAGAGAAATGAGTGTAAGTTGTCTTAAGATGTCAGAGAATCTGCAGGGCAGGAAGACTCCTTGTCCAACGTGGATGCTTTGTCCCTATGGCACCATGGTAACCTGGCCTGTACAGACAGGAAATTGAACTCCTTGGTTTGTTCCTCTCCTGTAGTGGTTCTCAAAGTTTAATGTGCATCATTATCTCCTGGAGGTCTCATTAAAACACAGATCAGGTCCCACCAACAGTTTCTGTTCGGTAGATCTAGGGTCGGGCCCAAGGATTTGCATTTCCAGCAAGTTTTCCAGCGATGCCAATACTGCTGGTCCAGGGTGCTTTGAGAATTACAGTTCGAGACAAAAAACTTGAATGGAGCCAAATTGAATGAAATTGCAAGGCTGAGTTTTTCATTTTTAGCTCAATTCTGAATTTTTCATTTTTAGCTGAAACCTGAGCTCAGGAGTTCGAGACCAGCCTGGCCAACATGGTGAAACCCCATCTCTACTAAAAATACAAAATTCTTCATACCTCTAACCATCTTAACCATTTTTAAGTGTACATTTGAGTGGTATAAAATGCATTCATAATGCTGTGCAAACATCACATAGTGTCAATCTCCATAAATAACTTTTTTCATCTTGTAAAACTGAAACTTTATACCCGTTAAGCAATAATTCTCCATTTCCCCTTACTCCAGCCCCCTGGCAAATTCCCATTCTACTGTTTGTCTCTATGATTGTGACTACTCCAGATACCTCATATAAGTAGAATTGTCCAGTATTTTTCTTTTTGTGACTGGCTTGTTTCACTTAGCTAATGTCCTCAGCTTCATCCACGTTGTAGCATACGTCAGAGTTTCTTTCCTTTTTAAGGCTAATGCTTCCTCATATGGATGGACCAGATTTTGCTCATCTATCTGTTCCTCTGTCAGTGGACATTTGGGTTGCCTCCACCTTTTGGCTGCTGTGAATAGTGCTGCTGTGAAGCGTGCATGCACATCCTGACTGCTGTGTTAATTCGTTCCTTGCTGTCTTTACAGTTTCCCCATCTGTGTATATAGCGTGCATAATACAGTGTTTGCTTTTGTGCTGAGTAGCAAGTCCCAGCCTTGCTCTGCAAGGGAACAGCACTGTGCCCATGTTAGATGAAGTTACCTAGGAGAAAGTGGCATAAACAAAAGTTTGGGATAATAGTTGGACATAGCTTCCCTGAACATTTATTGATCCCCTCCGGTGACATTGGTAATCAAAGCTGGGAGAGAGTCCTGTGAAACATAGACCATGTGGCAGAATTGAAAGATCATCCAGGTGCCAGTTGTCCAGCAGAATATTGATTGATTGAGACAGAGTCTCACTGTCACCCAGGCTGGAGTACAATGGCGCAATCTTGGCTCACTGCAACCTCCATCTTCTGGGTTCAGACGATTCTCCTGCCTCAGCCTCCCAAGTAGCTGGGACTACAGGTGTGTACTACCACACCCAGCTAATTTTTATATTTTTAGTAGAGATAGGGTTTTGCTGTGTTAGCCAGGCTGGTCTCAAACTCCTGACCTCAGGTGATCTGCCCACCTCGGCCTCCCAAAGTGCTGGGATTACAGATGTGAGCCATCGAGCCTGGCCCTGCAGCAATATTTATGCCCAAGGGCAATGGTGAGCTGCTCTGTATTTTGGCTTGTAGGTGCACCTGATCTAGTTCTCAGGGGTCGATCACTTGAGAATACTTCTGTGGGGGTAAAAAGACTGTTCACAGCTAATCCACACAGGGCATGGAAGTGGGAGCTGGAATGTCACTAGCACATGTCAGAATTATCCAAATGCCAGTAAGAGTATGGGCTCATCTCACCGGACATTTTGTATTCTGTTTACAAATTAGGACATGGTATACTACTTTGGAACACAGGCAGCATTTACTAAAACTGAATTCCTCATGTCCTAGCAAAGCCTCTCCTAGGTATGGCCCCAACAAAAACGTGCCCATATTTTCACTAAAAAACATACAAGAATATTCATAGCTGCACTTCTTATAAGAACCAAAATGCTGGCTGCAACCCAAATGTCAGTCAGCAGTAGAATGAATACCTATGATGTATTTGTAAAATGGGACACCTTAAGCAATGAGAAGGGGCACACAGCAGAGACCACAGGTGAATATCACAAGCAGATTGTTGAATGAAAAAGTCAAATGTAAGAGAATATATAATATATGGTTTCATTTATTAAAAATTTAAAACCAAGTAACATGAATCTATGATGTTAGAAGCCAGGAGAGAGAGGTCACCCTTGGTTTGGAATGCGGTTCTTGAAGGGCTTCTGGGACCATGGGCATGTTCTGTTTCTTGACCTGGTTGCTAGTTAGCCGCATGTTCAGTTTGTGAAAACTCACCAGGCTGTACACGTGATCTGTGCAGTGTTCTGTGTAGATGCTATACCTCAGTAAAAATTTGACCTCAATTGTTGTTAATGGTAATAGGTATCTTGGGGACGATGGCCTTTGACATATTGCCCTCTTGAGTCAGCTGGGTTTAGTCTGGACAATATCTGGTGCATAGCTACCCTCCAGGCGTCTCTTCACCAAACTGTTACTGATTCCTTTCACCCCTCTCCTGAATTGGACCTCTGTTTCCAGTGCCCCATATTATCTTATTTCTTAACTTGTTCTCTCAATTGGTGGAACATTCTTGAGTTAATAGCTTCTAGAGAAAAGGTGCATAGGAAGTATATTTTTGAGATCATGTATGGTCAAAAAATGTCTTCATTCTTTGTATAGAATTCTGGATTGTAAATAATTTTTCTTCAGAATTTTGAAGACATTGCTCCATTGTCTTTTAGGTGCCAGTTTTGCTGTTCAGAAATCCAAAGCCGGCTGGGCCTGGTGGCTCATGCCTGTAATCCTAGCACTTTGGGAAGCTGAGGCAGGAGGATCACTTGAGTCCAGGAGTTTGTGACCAGCCTGAATAAAATAGTGAGACCCCATGCCGGGCACGGTGGCTCACGCCTGTAATCCCAGCACTTTGGGAGGCCGAGGCGGGTGGATCACGAGGTCAACAGATTGGGACCATCCTGGTCAACATGGTGAAACCCTGTCTCTACTAAAAATACAAAAAATTAGCTGGGCATCTTGGTGTGTGCCTATAATCCCAGCTACTCAGGAGGCTGAGACAGGAGAATTGCCTGAACCCAGGAGGCAGAGGTTGCAGTGAGCTGAGATCGTGACATTGCACTCCAGCCTGGGTAACAAGAGTGAAACTCTATATAAAAAAAAAAAAAAAAAATAGTGAGACCCTATTCTCTACCAAAAAACAAGTTGTTTTTTTTTTACATTAACTAGGCATGGTGGCACAAGCCTGTAGTCCAGCTAACTCTGAAGACTGAGGCGGGAGGATTGCTTGAGCCCAAGAAGTCGAGGCTGTGAGCTGTGATCACCCCACTGCATTCCATCCTGGGCAACAGAGTGAGACCTTGACTCAAAAAATAAAAAAAGGAATCTAAAGCCATTCCGCTTCCTTATCTTTTGTATGTGACCTGTGTTTGTCTCTATAGAAGCATTTCTTCCCTTCTGTTTTCTGTGTTCTCTCTCTGAATGTTGAACCTCCTGAACTGGTTTTCTGTTTTTCTTATAGTTTCTCTCATATTTTCTATCTTTTTTTTTTTTTTTGAGACGGAGTTTCGCTCTTGTTACCCAGGCTGGAGTGCAATGGCGCGATCTCGGCTCACTGCAACCTCCGCCTCCTGGATTCAGGCAATTCTCCTGCCTCAGCCTCCTGAGTAGCTGGAATTACAGGCACGCGCCACCGTGCCCAGATAATTTTTTGTGTTTTTAATAGAGACAGGTTTTCACCATGTTGACCAGGATGGTCTCAATCTCTTGACCTAGTGATCCACCCGCCTCGGCCTCCCAAAGTGCTGGGATTACAGGCGTGAGCCACCGCGCCCGGCCCCAATTTTCTATCTTTTTGTTTCACTCTCTGGGAGATATATTTCCTTCTCTCCTTCCTTCCTTCCTTCCTTCCTTCCTTCCTTCCTTCCTTCCTTCCTTCCTTCCTTCCTTTTTTTGACAGTTTCATTCTGGTTTTCTATTTTTCTTATAGTTTCTCTCGTATTTTCTCTTTTTGTTTCACTCTCTGGGAGATTTCCTTCCTTCCTCCCTCCCTCCCTTCCTTCCTTCCTTTCTTTTTTTTTTTTTTTGACAGTCTTACTCTGACACCCATGCTGGAGTGCAGTGGCATAATCTCAGCTCACTGCAGCCTCTGCCTCCTGGGCTCAAGCAATCTTCCTGCCTCAGCTTCCCAAGTACCTTGGATTATAGGTGAGTGCCACCACACTTGGCTAATTTTTGTATTTTTATAAAGATGGGGTTTCACCATGTTGGCCAGGCTGGTCTCAAACTCCAGATCTCAAGTGATCTTCCTGCCTCGGCCTCCCAAAGTCCTGAGATTATAGGTGTGAGCTGTCATGCCCAGCCTTCCCAGGAGATTTTCTTCATCTTTATTTTCTGACCCTATTGTTGAAATTTTTCTTTCCTTTTTGATAGTATTATTTTGTTTCATGGATATAATACAATTTCTTATGTCTTTGAGGATATTAGTGATGAATTTTAATTTAAGTTTTAGTTTTCTTCTCCCTGCACAGTCTTTTACTCCAAGCCCTCCCCCCGACCCCCTATTTGTTTTGGCCTCCTGGTAGAAACTTTTCTTGGATGTCTGGTAGTCCTTGGTGATCTCCTCATGACATATTTAGATCTCCTAATGACATATTTAGTGAAGGGGACTGAAAAGCCCATTGAGTGTGATGGTAGGGCCTGTCAATGTGTAGCTCCACCAAGGGGGATCTGGGTGGGCCATTTGCTGAACCTCTGATTTTACCATCTCTAGTTCTTTCCCCTTGGGCTGGTCATTTCGCTGTGAGGATAGTTTTCTAATCTTGGGCCTAGGTGGGAAGGGTCTGATTGCCAGTGTCCTGGGAGCCAAGTTCTGAAGTGGCCCTCTGTTCCACATTCATTCTGTATTTAGACATTAACCCCCCTCTCCATTTTGTTCTAGAATCCCTCAAACACTTGCTGTCCTCTGCCTGGTGTCCCTGATCCACAGACTCTGTGTCACACTCACAAGGGAACACCCTCTCTACAGCCCTGTGCTGAGAGGTGCACAGGAGTCACATGAGTGGGATCCAGCTGCTTCTTAAACAACTTTCATTCATTCATCTTCATTTTCCTCCAGCTCATAAGCCCTTTGAGGAGTTAGTAATGGAAATTGGGTAATTCCACAGTTCCCTTGCTGCCTTGAGATTGGACCTTCTTGGGCCTGCTAAGCCTCTTGCCATCCTGCATTCCTGCTTCCCAGAACTGTGGCATTATCATTTCTTTTGCTGTTCTCTCTATCCTTAGGAATTATCTTTTTTAACAGTGCTTTTATTGTAGTTTTACTGTGCTTTAGAGGGCACCAAGTTAGGCGTGTGTCTTGGATCTACCATTCTAACCTGGAAAACAGCAGCAATGGTAACAGCAAACAGGAATGCTTCCTTCATGCCAGTCACTGTTCTGAGAGCGTCGTATAATGAATTCATTTAATTTGAAGTCTGACTAACTTATTTTTGTCAAGTCTCATCAAATTTCAGTTGGAAATCAAGACCCAGATGAAATGTTTGGCTTTAGTCTGTTTATTTCACCTCTAATAAATTCAGGCAGAGGAAGAGAACTACCAGACCCAAAGAGGAGACGTGTTTATCTCTCCCTTCTCTTAACCTTGTTTTCACTCTTGACTTTGTCCCCTAGAGGAGTGTGCTCCAGTTGCTGCACTCCAAGAGCGACGTGGTACGACAGTACATGGCCAGGCTCATCAATGCTTTTGCGTCACTGGCAGAAGGTGAGACATCAGCTTTGCTTAAAGAGAAGAGCTAGGTCATACTGATTCCTTTTCCTTTGAAAATGAGTGTTCCTCCCAAGTTTCTTAGCAATTACGCTTCCTCAATTTGTTACTGTTTAATTCATCTAAGGTCTTTTGTGAAAATTAGTTGTTGTCATATTGCTTTAGTTTGTATCAGAGCACTTTGGACAGTTTTTGGGTTTATTTTGTAAGCCTCCTGGTTTTATTTTATAAGCTTTCTGGCTTTGTAACATAGTAACGTTTTATATTGCTTTCAAGCATATCACAAGTAATGAATGCACTTTCTACAGTTTTCTATTTAAGACAAAATAAGTGAAACAATTACAGCAAAATAAGCGTGGTGAAACAAAGCAGACTCCAGTAAACGCTGCATCATTTCCTTTGGAAGACTACAAGCTCTTAAATCAAAGGATTTGAAAACTCGGAAAATAACATGCCCTCATAACTGAATGCAGAATGATTTGGTGAAGTGCCATTATCTTCCATAAGTTCTTATTTGTTTGAGCTCTTTATAATGTGAATAAAGGGAGTTTTCAAATTATGAATATATGATAGTCTACAACTTAGTTCATTTGTTTATTAATTCTTCCATCCATTTGGCAAACATTTATGATAAGCCAGGATGTATTACTGAGGACCATTCATATAATAATACTGTTGAAACTTATGTCTGAAATTGACATCTTCCATATCAATTCAGAAGTCCACAACAGGCTAGTGACCATTCAGGGTTTATTATAGGGTCCCAGGTATGGCTTCCACCTTCCTCTCCAGGCCTTGTGCATGTCTGAAGGGAGCAGAGAATGTGGATGGAAGCACTCCTTGGCTGCCTGTATTGTGAAGGCTTAAGGGCCCATAACACAACATCTACCCCCCGTTTCTCCTTGTAGATCTGAATGTTGGGTTCAGGATTTCATGAAAAAAAAGGATGGTGCTCCCCACAAGAACACAGCAGTGAATTATGTGTAGCTCACAAGAAGAGTGGTTTTTCTAGTCATCAGATAGTTAATTGAATAAAACCAACTTTTAGAAGAAATATCTTTTAATAAATTTTGTGGGAGTTTTGTAGGTTTTATTTTTTTTTTATTTTTGACAGAGTCTTGCTCTGTCACCCAGGCTAGAGTACAGTGGTATGATCTTGGCTCACTGTAGCCTCAACTGCCCAGGCTCAAGCAATACTCCTCCTGCCTGAGCCCCCCAATTAGCAGGGTTGACAGGTGTGCATCATCATACCTGGCCAATTTTCTTTAGTTTTTGTAGAGATAAGGTTACGCCCTGTTGTGCAGGCCAGTCAGGAACTCCTGAGCTCAAATAATCCACCCGCTTCAGCCTTCCAAAGTGCTAGGATTACAGGCGTGAGCTACATTGTGCAACCAGTAAGATTTTATTATTATTATTATTTTTATTTATTTATTTTTTGGGTCAGGGGACAGAGTCTTGTTCTGTCGCTCAGGCTGGAGTGCAGTGGCTTGAATCTTGGCTCACTGCAACCTCTACCTCCCGAGGTTAAGCAATTCTCCTGCCTCAGCCTCATGCAGTTCTCCTGCCTCAGCCTCCCGAGTAGCTGGGATTATAGGCACCTGCCACCACACCTAGCTAAGTTTTGTATTTTTAATAGAGACAAGGTTTCACCATGTTAGCCAGGCTGGTCTTGAACTCCTGACCGGTCTTGAACACCTGACCTCAGGTGATTCACCTGCCTCGGCCTCCCATAGTGCTGGGATTACAGGCATGAGCCACTACTCCTGACCTAGTAAGTTTTCTAGAACATAAAATTACCCAGACTCTACTGTGTTTTATGCAAAGTAAGTTTTCATGCAAAGTGGTTTTTTAGCATACCAGATAAATTATTTCTGTCTTTCACCTGTTTCATCTCTGGTGTATTATCAGGTCGCCTCTACCTTGCCCAGAACACAAAGGTGCTGCGGATGCTGGAGGGAAGGCTGAAGGAGGAGGACAAGGACATCATCACCAGGGAGAACATTCTTGGGGCCCTGCAGAAGTTCAGCCTCAGGTAATGACTGTGTGGTAGGTCGTGGTGTCTCCTCTGAGATCACATTGAGTTAAAATTCCCAAGACAACTCAGGAGGCAGTCGGTATTTTTCCACTAACACTTTGGAGAGGGTGGATGACTTTCTAAGACAGAGCTAGAAAGCTTATCTCTAATCCGCTAAACTATCCTGCTAGAGACTGCTGGGGATGGAGGAAGATGTTTTATTTTTTTCTTCATTTATTTATTTATTTTATTTTCACCAGGGCCTTTGCTCTGAGAGGAAGGCATTTTAAAAGCACCAGTGTATTTTCCTAATGGACATTATCTAGTGCCAGCCATGCTAGATTGTGTCTCAGGGCATGTGTAGGGCTTAGAGACAGACACATGAATAGGGCCCAATACAGCCTCAGCCCTCAAGTTATTTCCAGTCCCCTGTGGGAGCCACACATGTAAATGTACATCCCAGCAGAGTGTGAAAGACAGTCCTGTGGAGTTAGGGTTAGGGCCTCCTGACCTTGGCAAAGCAACCTACCCCATCAGCTCAGCCTAGACCGCCATGACTTGGAACCTATAGGGCCAGGCTAATTTTTGTGTTTTTAATAGAGACAGGATTTGATCATTTTGGCCAGTCTGGTCTTGAATTCCTGACCTCAGGTGATTCACCCACCTCAGCCTCCCAAAGTACTGGAATTAACAGGCATGAGCCATCGTACCCAGCCCCATAGGTTTCTTTTCAGTTAACAGCTTTATTGAGGTGTATTTTATACACCATAATATTCCCCCATATCAAGCACACAATTCAAGGATTTTAGCGTGTTTATAGAGTTGGGCCACAATCATCACCACAATCCAGTTTTAGGACATTTCCATTACCACAAAAAGAAACCTTATACCCATTTACAGTCACTCCTCATTTCTACCCCCAATCCTCGATAGCCACAAATCTGCTGTTGGTGGATTGACTCGTACTGGACATTTCATATCAATGGAATCATGTAGTGTGCGCTCTTTTGTAACTGGCTTCTCTCACTTAGCATCACATTTGCAAGGTTCGTCCTTGTAGCAGTGTGTGTCAGGGCTTCATTCCTTTTGTGGCTGAATGATACTCCATTGTGGCTACACCACGTTTTTTTGTTTGTATGATTGGTTGGTTGGTTTTTTTTGAGACGGAGTCTCGCTCTGTCGCCCAGGCGGAGTACAGTGGTGTGGTCTCGGCCCACTGCAACCTCTGCCTCCCGGGTTCCAGCTATTCCCCTGCCTCAGCCTCCTGAGTAGCTGGGATTACAGGCACGCGCCACCATGCACAGCTAAGTTTTGTATTTTTAGTAGAGAAGAGATTTCACCATGTTGGCCAGACTGGTCTTGAACTCCTGACCTCTTGATCCACCTGCCTTGGACTCCCAAAGTGTTGGGATTACAGGCGTGAGCCACTGTGCCTGGCCTATATTACATTTTGTTTGTCCTTCAGTTGATCAGCATTTGGGTGGTTTGCACTTTTGGCCGATATGTATGACACTGCCATGAATCTTTCAGCACAAGTCTTTGTGTGGACATATGTTTCCTTTTCTCCTGGACCAGCATCTAGGAGATGAATTACTGTGTCATATGGTAATTTTCTCAGAGTTTTCTTTGAAAATAATCACCTCAAGTTCTCTTTGACTTTATTGAGAACTCTAGTACCTGGAGTCTTCAGCTTTTTTTTTGTCAGTCCTCTTCTGAACACAATTTCTTCCCATCAAATGTGATTAACATGTGACCAACTCACAAATAACCAGAAGCTGGCCAAGTGAAATGTCTAAGTGTGTGTGTGTTTACTGGGAAGGGATAGGTATTTGTATCTACCATTTGCCAATTTCCTGCAAATGAAAATTCCTGTGCTAACTATATGCATTGAAAAGAACTGAGTGATCCGCAGAGTCATTACTTCCTCAGAGCATACAGACGCTTCATTTCTATTTGTTTGTAGAGAGAACTTTGCTCAATATTGACCATTTTGGGGGTTTTTAGAAATTCAATAACTATAGTTAAGTGACAGATATAAGATATGGTGAAAAGAATACTTCCTCCTGGTAACAAAAATGTTTACTGCCTGTTTAGTCTTTTCCTCCAAGTGATCCTTTAAGCTTTTTCATTCTGTAAAGGTGCTTAAACTTTTTGCAGTTTTCCAGAGTCTCTGCAATAAATGGAGAAGGTAGCTAGTTACCAAGAGGGCACAGTCTTCACTGTATTCTATATTGACCCCAATTGGGTCCACATAGTGTTTAAGAACAGGATGAACTGCTAACTGGCTCCGCTCTTCTGTCCTGGGTGGTGGTTTCACTGTAAGCTGCTCATCAGGAGATGTGCAGTGCTGGCTTCTCTGTGGCATGTCAGTTTTCTAGTAATCCAGATGGCATCTCACAATGATACCACACTTAGCCTCAGTAATTTTTTTTTTTTTTTAGACAGAGTCTTGCTTTGTCGCCAGGCACCAGGCTGGAGTTCAGTGGCACGATCTCGGCTCACTGCAATCTCCGCCTCCCAGGCTCAAGCAATTCTCCTGCCTCAGCCTCCCGAGTAGCTGGGACTACAGGTGCATGCCACCATGCCCAGCTAATTTTTATATTTTTAGTAGAGACGGGGTTTCACCATGTTGGCCAGGATGGTCTCGATCTCTTGACCTTGTGATCCGCCCACCTCGGACTCCCAAAGTGCTGGGATTACAGGCATGAGCCACTGTGCCCGGCAGCCTCAGCAATTCTTAAGGCTGACCTGATGATATCACCATCACACTTTTTGATGAGGGATTGGATTTTGTACCTGGATTTCAGGTGGAAAATCGTTCCTTATAATTTGCATTAACCAGGTCGTTAAACTACCCTTACTCTATAGAAATCTGAATCAGAATGCTGTTAAGGTAGGCTTTTGCTCCTTTTTTCTTTGTTTTCATATGGGTCGGAGTGCCTAGGGCTGGATTAAGGAGAGTTTAGGTAAGTCTATTTGTCAAAGAAGTATTTCTATGGTCCTGTTTCCTGGGTTAAGTAAACCAAAAGCTACTAATAAATATTTATTAGATATTTGAAGTAATGCTCTGCTAATTTTAAATCAGGAAACTTTCAAAGTAGGAGGCCTCCTTGCCGCCTTTATTTAAACCCTTTATAAATATCCCCGAAATAATAAAAGAATTTTTGTTGTTTCAGTTGTATGGGTTTAACAAAAGCATTCTTCAGAGTCTGTGTCTTCTGTAAGTTTGTCTTTTTTGATATGCATTCACATTACTGTTTATTCTTGCTCTCTTTTTATTTTTTTTGAGACGGAGTCCTGCTCCATCTCCCAGGCTGGAATGCAGTGATGCAGTCTCGGCTCACTGCAGCCTCTGTCTCCTGGGTTCAAATAATTCTCATGCCTCAGCTTCCTGAGTAGCTGGGATTACAGGCACCCGCCACCACACCCAGCTAATTTTTGTATTTTTAGTAGAGACAGGGTTTCACCATGTTGTCTAGGCTGGTCTCAAACTCCTGACCTCAGGTAATCTGTCCACCTCTGCCTTCCAAATTGCTGGGAAAGCCTCTGTGCCTAGCCTACTATTTCCTCTTATATAAAAAGTTTCTTGGCAATTTTCGTTTACCTTAGGCTGTTTCTTCCAGGCGCCCGCTGCAGACAGCAATGATTCAAGATGGCCTTATCTTCTGGCTGGTTGATGTTCTGAAGGACCCAGACTGCCTGTCTGACTACATGCTGGAGTACTCGGTGGCTTTGCTCATGAACCTCTGTCTCCGCAGCGCAGGTCTCATAGCCCCCCAACCCTCATTCTGGTGCAGAAAGGGGAAGAGATCTTGATCCTCGAAGCTAGGTTTCCAATGAGCCTAATATGGTTTGCTTTTAGTCTCATAGAAAACTGAAAAAAGAGTGGAAAGCATTTCCAACCAGGTATCAAGCTGTTGAATCCCTGAAGCTAAAATCCCTTCTCACCCTGGAAAAAATGTTTTGTATATACATAGTACCTGCATTAAGAGGAGACTAAGTTTATTTACATTTTTCTTTATTGCATCATTTAAAGGTAGGAAGTTAAGACTATGACACCTGGCTGGGTGTGGTGGCTCACACCTATAATCCCAGCACTTTGGGAGGCCGATGCAGGCGGATCACGAGGTCAGGAGTTCGAGACCAGCCTGGGCAACACAGTGAAACCCCATCTGTACTAAAATACAAAAAATTAGCCGAGCATGGTGGCAGGCGCCTATAATACCAGCTACTCAATGGGCTGAAGCAGGAGAACTTCTTGAACCTGGGAGGCAGAGGTTGCAGTGAGCCAATATCATGCCGCTACACTCTAGCCTGGGCAACAAAGCAAGACTCCATCTCCAAAGAAAAAAAAGAATATGATCCCCTTTTCTGAAAACAAAGAAGTGTGTTCCCAGGGTCCTATAGGATTAAGCTGGCTGCAGTGGCAGTGACACTAAACCCCGCTTCCTGCCCTGAATCACATGCTTTTCCCTGTTCCAGCCCTGGAGGTAGATAGAGATTTTTCTGTGGGCACAAGTCATTTATATGCTTGATTACTAAAGGCTGTGATTTTAGCTTTTCCGCAGGTACCGTCTCATTTAAATTGTTACCTGGGATGAAAGAAGCTTCTTTAGAAGAAGTTGCAAGTCCAGGCTGTGGCCTCCCCCTACCTGGGCAGCCAGTGTTTGGAGAAAAAGGCTCCCTGGATAAATAGCTGGCTCAGGAGTACTTGTTGGAAGCATCTTCACCTCCATCTTGTAGACTGAACCATGTAATTGTGTATTGTTGGCTGAGTAAATGACTATTATTCAGTCATTTTAAAAAATAGCATGTGGGAAAAGTCCTAGCTTTTTTTTTTTTTGAGATGAAATCACTTTCTTTCATGCAGGCTGGAGTGCAGTGGCATGATCTTGGCTCACTGAATCCTCCGCCTCCCGGGTTCAAGCAATACTCCTGCCTCAGTCTCCTGAGTAGCTGCAACTGCAGGTGCCCACCACCACACCTGGCTAATTTTTGTGTTTTTAGTAGAGAGGGGGTTTCACCATGTTGGCCAGGCTGGTCTTAAACTCCTGACTTCAAGTGATCTGCCCACCTCGCCCTCCCGAAGTGCTAGGATTACAGTTGTGAACCAGTGCACCAAGCCAGAAGGCTTAACTTCTAATGCATTCATCGAATTAGAATTAGCTTTACTTCGTCATCATGACCATATTTGCAGCAATTTTTATGATGATGTTTAGAACTCCTAAAATGCCCGTATGGTCTTTGTGATGGCCGTATAGTGTGTGGGAGGGAGAACATTGCTCTATAAGGTATTATACTTTCACTGTAATGAACCTCTCTGCGCTCTGACTGGAGTAATAGCCATCACTTGGGGTGGTTTACTGAGCACCGAGGTTCTGTGCTACACTGAGTCCTTTACATATATTAGTTTACTTAATTTTGCATCATCCTTTGAAGTAGGTATGAATAATAATCCCTGTGGTAAAGAGGAGGAAATTGAGGCCCAGATTGGTCCTGTGACTCACCCGAGGTCATACGGCTTATGGGCAGAGGAGCCAAGATTTGTCCCCAAGTCTACCTGACCTAAAATTGTGCTTCTGGGTTTAGACCTGTCATGTTTAGCTTTGGTTTGTTTCCCATAGGGAAGAACATGTGTGCCAAGGTGGCAGGCCTCGTGCTCAAAGTCCTTTCGGATCTTCTTGGCCATGAAAACCATGAGGTACTCATTCAGCGTTGCTGGCCCTGGGCTTAGGGGAGGCTGCACTGGGGACCCAATGCCTGTGACCCCACAGGCACACAGCTGGCCCAGGACAGTTGCTGTATTTGAAAAATGTACACGTTCTCCCTCCTCCAGGGATTTTCAGAAGCAACTGGAAGTCCTTTATAATTTTTGGGAGTCAGAAGTAGGATGTTGTTGTTTCCATCCCTATCTGTGTGGCCCTCTGGCCACTGGCCTGTGCCGGGCCCCTCCGGCATTGCTCCCCCACATGCCACCCTCTTGAAGTGTTTAAGGTATCTCCATGGTTGTGGATGGAGCCTCTGTACATGTGTGTTGTATTTGCAGGAATTGATTTTCCTGTAGGTCTCATTCTGTTTATGGCTTTTACCTTGGCTTGTTAGGTCCTTTCTATGTTGCTTTACATACGTCTGGTTCATTAAGTGTCACTACTGCAAACTAGCTCCTTGTTTGCGCCCCTGCCATTTTACTTACCCGCCTGTACACTCAGGGTGCCTTCCAGTCTGTTGTCACAGCAGTCCTCAGTGGACATGGCTGCACCTGCCTCATGGGAGCCTGAGCCAGAGCTTCCACGAATGCTAGACACTCATCACTGGTGGCTGCCAGCATACGTCAAGGTCAGGTCACTGAGTGCGGCCAAGTTGTCCTCCAGAATGGGCTGTACTAGTGTTTGCTCTCATCAGTGCCCCTGTAATACCTGGTGTGATTTTCTACGTTTTTAATTTATGGGTCTCAGTCTCTTTTTAAATAAAGTAGAGATATGGGTAAACAATTTAACAGAAACAAATAAATATGATTATTCTCTGACTTGCCTTCTACAAATGCCATTACGGAAACCATGACAAGGCTTCAACAAAAATCTGACCACTTTAGACAGATGAGACCCAGAGGTATATCTGAGCAGGACACGATTGAGTACCACTTGGTTTCCACATGTCTGTGTTCCCATTTCTTTTTTCTTTTTCTTCTTTTTTTAAGACAGAGTCTCCCTCCGTTACCTGGCTGGAGTGCAGTGGCACAATCTCGGTTCACTGCAACCTCTGCCACCTCCCAAGTTCAAGCAATTCTCCTGCCTCAGCCTGCCAAGTAGCTGCGATTACAGGCACATACCACCATACTCAGCTAATTTTTTGTATTTTTAGTAGTGACAGGGTTTCATCATTTTGCCCAGGCTGGTCTCAGACCCCTAACCTTATGATTCACCCTCCTCGGCCTCTCAAAGTGCTGGGATTACAGGTGTGAGCCACCACACTCAGCCCATTCATTCCCATTTCAAGCAGACAGCTCCCATTCTGGTCATTCCATTCACATTTTATACCAGTTCTATCCACTGATTGGGGTGACTTCTTTAGCAAGTGGATGTTTGGTGGCTTTTGCAGTTTGTGACATTCGTATTGTATTTTAAAACTAGTAAGCTCTTAACTACTTCTAGGCCTGAATGAACTCTGTTCCTCACTTTATTCAGCTAAGGCAGGTGAAACCAGTGGGAAACATATTCTTCCATCTTATAATAAAGGTTGGTTTCAGGTACTGGAACCAATATGTCTGCTCTGAAAACTGAATAGACCAAAGGATTCAAATCATGACATTAACTGTTACCAATGCATTGGCTTTGAAAATAAGCTGGACAAGCCCGACGCGGTGGCTTATGCCTATAATCCCAGCAATTTTGGGAGGCCGAGGTGGGAGGATCACTTGAGGTTAGGGGTTTGAGACCAGTCTGGCCAATGTGTGGAAACTCCATCTCTACTGAAAAAACAAAAATTCTCCAGGCATGGTGGCATGTCCCTATAATCCCAGCTACTAGGAGGCTGAGGCATGAGAACCACTTGAACCCGTGAGACAGAGGTTGTAGTGAGCTGAGATTGTGCCATTGCACTCCAGCATGGGTGACAGAGCAAGACTCTGTCTCAAAAAAGAAAAAAAGAAAAATATAAAAAGAAAATGAGCTAAAAAAACTATATATATCTACCTAAAATATATTTATTTTAGGTAGATATATGTACATATATATTTTTTAGATATATATACATATATACGTAGTTTTAAAATATAAAATATATATCTCTAATATAAATATATATTTTTGGCTCTAAAATATGTATATATTATATATATAGTAGATATATTTTATACCTATATATATATATTTTAAAGCCAAGAAATGTGTTTGCTACACAAGTAAATGCAATATTCATATATTCTATAGTAGTCATGATCTTGAAAGACAAAATGAAAATAAAGAAAAAGATGCACATAATTGACTATATGAGTATTACATTTCTCGTTTGGAAAAGATGCTATAATCAAAGTCAAAAAATGAATGAAACCCCAAGGAAAAGTCTCATCACATGTGACCAAAATTTAATATTGCTAATAGTTGAAGAACTAGTGTAAATTGATAAGTAAAAGTCAAGCAGTCCTATAGGAAAAAGGGGTAAAGGGCATGACTGGACAGTTCACACAATGGTGCTGGCCCAGAAGCATGAAAAGATGTTCAGTCGTGCTGGTATCAGGGAACTGAAAAGAAAAACAGCTGTAGGATGCCTTTTACCCATCAGCTTGGCAAGCACTGAAAATGCTAATGAAGTCCAGTGCTGAGGGAGGGCGATAGGAAAGGAGCCCTCCTCCATTGCCACGGTGGGCATAGCGTACAGCCCACTGAAAAGGGACTTTGCTTATCAGCACCTGCCATGCTTCATGTCCTGTGCATGCAAGTAAAACATGGGTCCTCTCCTCAAAAAGCTCAGAATAGAGGGGACATAGTGTGAATTTAAAAGGATACTGCCTCCAGTGCTGTAGTGGAGGGATGTACAAGAAGTGGAAGTGAGCACCATGTCTGGGCTGAGTTTTCAAGGTTCATTATATGTGTGAAGACCGTTCCTGGCAAGGTGAACTGCGAGAACCTGGCTGAAACATGGAACAGCCTGGTGGGGGCATCCCTTAGGTAGTGTGGACACATTGTGGTGGCAGGGAGGGAGAAGCAGAGGGCATGAGATAGAGGCCACCCCTTGAAGATCCTGTGTGCCACACTAAGGTGTCTGCCTTTCCAACTGGGCTCTGTGGAAGGTTTCTGAGATGGAGAGAGGGATGATTTGGCCCACACTGTAGAATGTTCATAGTGATCTGATGGTTAAATTAAAGAGCAAATATTGAGGGTAGAAAGACTGTTTTAGAGATTTGATATAGCCTAGGTCATGGACAATGATGTCTGAACAAAGACAGTAGCAGTGGATATTAAAAAGAAGGGCTCCTATCAAAGAGCCTTGAAGACTGAGCATTGGAGACAGAACAAAAAAAAATCAAAGGTGACTCCAAAGTTTCTAGCCTGAGTGATCAGGAGGTTAAAAGTAACTTTAATTAAGCAATGAAGTGCAGCAGGAGTGAGCTTTGGGAGGAGTGATGAATCTGGTTTTAGATTCAGTGGTAGCGGTCATTCAAACATGCAGATGGAAATGTCTGTCACTTGGAAACGTGCATCCTGGAGTGCCAGAGAGCTGCAAGGACGGGAACGCCCACTCTCCCCATTTGCCAGATTGTTCTGCAGTGCGGTGTTTGATAGAGAGTTGTGCAATATTTGAAAACTTGCAAATAACTGTTTGTTTTCCTCCACTTAAAGATTCAGCCATATGTGAATGGAGCTCTGTACAGCATCCTTTCTGTTCCAGTCATTCGTGAGGAAGCAAGAGCAATGGTAAGAAAGTGTGCTTGAGAAACATGAGCTTCCTTCAGTGCCAGAGTTCAGAGCTCTTAGAGCAAGACTGCCTCGATTGGGCTCCATGGAAGGACCCAGATCCTTTACAAACTCACTGAAATTGTATGCAAAATGTATATTTGCCATTTCCTAGGGACAGAGTCTGTAGCTTTTCTCAGATTCTCAAGGGGACTCCTAACTCCTAAGTGGTTAAAAATTCAAGTGTTAGTTCCCAGCAGGCTGACTTTTGCAAAGTTATAGACATTCTGATGGCAACCAAATATCAAACTCTCTAGGACTTGGTTTGGTTGGAAAGTAGTAAACTCAGTATTTAATATTTTACATTAATGCTTGTATGCGAAGTAAAAAAAAAAACCTCAGGTGACTAGTAGCTTATTTTCAAAGGACAGATGTTTCTAGATCTAATCTGTAAAACGGCTACAGTTTTATCCTTTTTCCTTATACCATGTGAAACCAGGTTAACAGTGTATTAAATGCTGTGGTGAAAAAGTTAAATATATTTCCATCCTCAAAACACAGGTAGAATTCTCATTGACACCAACAAAACATTCCTCTAATTGGTTTTGCTTACTTAGAAGAATTGCTAAGTCTTCTCATTGATCATTTAAAATTACACCAACAGTTACACCAGAGGCGAAACTTATTTAAGAACCATTCTGGCTGGGCATGGTGGCTCAAGCCTGTAATCGCAGCACTTTGGGAGGCCGAGGCGGGCGGATCACCAGGTCAAGAGATCGAGACCATCCTGGCCAACATGGTGAAACCCCATCTCTACTAAAAATACAAAAATTAACTGGATGTGGTGGTGCGTGTCTGTCGTCCCAGCTACTCAGGAGGCTGAGTCAGGAGAATTGCTTGAACCTGGGAGGCGGAGGTTGCAGTGAGCCAAGATTGTACCACTGTACTCCAGCCTGGCGCCTGGCAACAGAGCAAGACTCCGTTTCAAAAAAAAATGAAAAAATGAAAAAGAACCATTCTGTGTGATCACACTAAACAATGGACCTTAATTGCCTGCTGCTTTTACATTTCACCACAGAACAGGGGAGAATAAATTTGCTTATATTCTGCATTATGGTCATTTAGGTGAAAGAAAGGGATTGTCAACCAAGGCAAAGAAGAGAAGAAAACATGTAGGCTTAAAAGAATGGAGGTAACATCAAATCCGAGTGAAATGCAGTGTGGAGGAAAGACACCAGGGCAAAGGGATGGAGAGGGTGGGGGAGTGGCGGCCAAGGGCAGGGACCCCTTGAGGAAGAGTCACAGTTGTAGGTTATGACAGCAGGACTGCCCTTAGAGATCCTAGAGCGGGGAGAAAAAAGACGGAAGAGAGGGACAGAGCTTCTGAGACCTCTATGACAGCATCAGGAGGTCTGACAGTTACCTAGTAGGAGTTCCAGAAGGAGAGGAATGTGAGCAAATGGGGCGGAAAAATCACTGGATAAATAATGAAGAAATTTGGTGAGAAATACAAACGTAATAGTAAGGTATCTAGGAAACCCCTAAGTGTTTGGAAAATAAACAGCACACTGGTATCAGTTATCTATTACCACACAACAGTTTACCCCAAAGCTTAGTGGCTTAAACAAGTTTTCTGGTTTTGTTTTTGAGACAGAGTCTCGATGTGTTGCCCAGGATGGAGCACAGTGGCACAGTCGCAACTCACTGCAATCTCTGCCTCCTGAGTTCAAGCAATTCTCCTGCCTCAGCCTCCTGAGTAGCTAGGACTACAGGTGCACACCACCATACCTAGCTGATTTTTGTATTTTTAGTAGAGATGGGCTTCCACCATGTTGGCCAGGCTAGTCTCAAGCTCCTAAATTCAAGTGATCCGCCTGCCTCAGCCTCCCAAAGTGCTGGGATTACAGGCGTGAGCCACTGTGCCCAGCTGATTTTTGTTTTTGAGACAGGTCTTGCTCTTTTACTAGGCTGAGTGCAGTAGCCTGATCATAGCTCAAATGCAGCCTTCATCTCCCAGGCTCAAGCCATCCTCCTGCCTCATCTAGTAGCCGGAACTGTAGGTGTGCGCCACCACACCTAGCTAATTTAAGAGACAGGGTATTGCTATGTTGGCCCAGGCTAGTCTCATACTAGGCTCAATTGATCCTCCCACCTTGGCCTCCTAAAGTGCGGGGTTACATGCATGACCTGCTGAGCCTGGCCCTTGAATTTTTAAATTACAGTCATGCACCACGTGACAACATTTTGATCAACAAGACTGCGTATATGATAATGGTCTAATAAGATTATAATACTCTGTTTTTACTGTACCTTACCTATGTTTAGATATGCTTAGATACACAAATACTTAACATTGTGTTACAGTTGCCCACAGTATTCAACACAGTCAAGTGCTGAACAGGCTTGTACCCTAGGATCTTACTGGCTATGCCATATAGCCTAGGTGTTGTAGTAGACTACACCATCTAGGTTTGTCACTTATCTATGATATTTATACAATAATGACATTGCCTCATGACACATTTCGCAGAACATATCCCAATCACCAAGCTACCAATGACTGTTTCTTTGGGACAAACATTCAAGAGTGGAAAGCAGAGTAGTCCTAACTAACAGTTGCTCAGTTTATAATTGAGACTTTAGCCTCTGCTACCAAGTTCACTACCATGGCTGTCAGCAGGAGGCCTCCATTTCCTTCTGACTGTTGGCTGGGACCTCATTTTCTTCCCAAATGGGCCTCTCCATAAAGCTTCTCTTGACATGGCAGTTGGCTTTGCCTAGAGTGAATGATTTGAGAGAGAGAATAAGCAAGACAGAAGCCCCAGTGTCCTTTAGAAAAGCTACTCTCAGAAGTGAGATACCATTGCATTTATTCCCTTGGTTACACAGACCCACTCTGGTACAATGTGGAGAGGATTGCACAAGGGTGTGACTGGCAGGAGGTAAAGTCACTGGGGCCACCTTGGGCTGGCCACCACACACTCCTAGGTAACTGGGTCAAAGAAGAAAGCTCAAGGAACATGATACTACTCAAATACTACAAATATTTTCTCAGTTTTGGTTTGTCTTTTTAAATTATGGTGGTTGGCCAGGCATGTTGGTTCACACCTATAATCCCAGTACTTTGGGAAGCCGAGGTGGGCAGATCATGAGGTCAGCAGTTTGAGACCAGCCTGGCCAACATGGTGAAACTGTCTGTACTAAAAATACAAAAATTAGCCAGGCCTGGTGGTGGGCACTTGTAATCCCAGCTACTCAGGAGGCTGAGGCAGGAGAATCGCTTGAACCTGAGAGGCGGAGGTTGCAGTGAGCTGAGATTGCACCATTGCACTTCAGCCTGGTCAACAAGAGCAAGTCTCCGTCTCAAAAAAACAAAAAAATGTTCTGGTGGTTTTGGGCAAATATCCGCTTTATGGCTTCTGACATGGGTTTCTAGATAAGCTGTGAGATTCTGACTTTGAAAAGGAAATGTGGATCACTTACATAAAGATATAAGTAAATGGTGGGGCACGGTGGCTCATGCCTGTAATCCCAGCACTTTGAGAGGCTGAGGTGGGCAGATCACCTGAGGTCAGAAGTTTGAGACCAGCCTGGCCAACATGGTGAAACCTGTCTCTACTAAAAATACAAAAATTAGTCAGGCCTGGTGGTGGGCACTTGTAATCCCAGCTACTCAGGAGGCTGAGGCAGGAGAATCGCTTGAACCGGAGAGGCAGAGGTTGCAGTGAGCGGATATCACGCCACTGCACTCCAACCTGAGCAACAGAGTGAGACTCAGTCTAAAAAAAAAAAAAAAAAAAAAAAAAGTAGAATAAGCTTCCCTCTGGCATTTAACAGAGATTAAAGATAGAATCCAGGGAGGAACCCCTTTTAGCCTAAGAGGAAGCTTTTAAACACATCACCAAGGTGGCTGCCTGCTTAACTATTTTTAAGAGTTACCTCTAAGGGATGATCATGGCCACAATAAGATTTTTCTAAAACCCTGAAATTTCCCTCCTTTCACGTTTATCTTTGAGGAAGTTTTTAGATTGATAAAGCCATTATATTCTCTTTGCACATAGTTCTTACATGGGTGTATTTGCTTGGCAGAGTCTAGGTTGTGTGCCTGCACCCTAGCTACAGGGGAGGCTAGAGATGCTGAATAATGAAGGAAATAAGGAAAACATTTCCCACAATCTCTCCACCTCGACATCTGCTCATGCACGATGCTAGGGAAGTGGAGGCAGAGCTGATGTCCTCAGCCCTGCTGGTATTTGTATGTGTGTCAGCACAGTCCTGGAAGGCAGCTTGGCAGTTCTATGAAAAGCCACTAAAATACCCATCTTTTGGACTCATTCATTTTCTTCTGGTTGTTGATACAGAGAAAAAAAGTTCTATGCATGACAATGCTCATTTCAACATCTTTAAAAGAGTGAAAAGCTGGAAGCAACATGAATATCTAGTAATACAGGAATTGCTAATGAAATTATGATTTTTTTGCTCAAAATATTCATAGTTATTGAAGATGATAATTAGGAAAAGCAGTATGAAGCAGTCTGGAGATTTTTATTTTACTTTATAATGAAGGATAAAACCAGAATGTCTCATTATAAGAATGTATGTGCTTATGGAAAATGACACAATTTACATAAAAATTACATTAGTACCAAATGCTATTATAGTAGTCTTACAAGAATACCCTAAAGGGAAAAAAGAGAACAAAATAAATGAGTCCCCTGGGACCCATTTGAACTTTAAGAGCCTGCCAAGGCCTGAGGCTAGAGAAGGGATCAGGTAAGTGGAGCTGCTCTAATACGCACCCCACAGGCCTCCTGCAACGAGGTCTGGAGTCATAGTCAGCGTTGGGGCTCTCTGTCCTGGGCACCCCAACAAACATCCTGTCAGGGCTGGAGCAAACCAGAGGCTGTGTGGGTTATAAAGGCTCCCAGAATCTGGGAGAGCCAGGGATCTGGGCTTAGAAGCCACTCAGGCAGAGGAATGCCCAAGCACTCCATGGGGCTGCTCTGCTCCAGTGACCCTGG